TTTTTTTAACTAACAATTTGTTAAAAAAAAAAATTATTAAATTTTCTTTTCATTTTTATTTTTCAGTTCTTCAAAAATAGATTGGAAAATCGAGAGAAACGCTGGAAACTTGAAAAACATGAAGACAGCAAAGTAATTGAATTGAAGTAAAGAAAACGCGCAATGTTATTTTTTTTCAAGTAATTTTTGTTGTTGTTTTGTTAAGTGACAAAAATATTGAAAAAAGAAGCGAATTTGGCGAGAGAGAAAGTCAAAGAAAGTTTTGTGTGTGTTGCGGGACGGAAATGAAGGATGTCAGTTGTGTGCACATCGAAGAAAGCAACGGAAATTAAAATTTGCATGTGCAGCAGGACACAGGACACAGGAGGACACCAGAGGACAGTGGACCGAGGGGCAGCGGCAGTGGCAGAGGCAGAGGCAGAGGCAGAGGCGTGAGGCGTGAGGCGTGAGGCGTGAGGCGTGAGGCCAGAGAATGTGGCCAAGGGACTGCAGCGGCTGCAGCAGCTGCAGCTGCTGTTGTTCAGCTAGCCAAAGCTCGATGAAGCTGGCAAACGAATTCGCCACTCAAAAACTCAGCTCGATGCCATTTTTTTGAATTTGAATACAAACTTGACTTGGCCCCAAAACTGTAGACCGGCACATTCGAGTGCAAGCGCGAACGAGATAGTGATAGTGTGCGAGTGAGTGAGTGAGATCTCTTGTGCATTAGCTGACAACCAGATAAAACGCTCCACAACGACATTGACAACAGCTTCATCAACTGCTGCCCGACTTCTATTTTTTCTATTTTTTCGGCTCCGCCCCACACCCCGCTCCGCGTCCGCGCCCCGCCGCCCCGCCGCTACGGCCCCAGCAGTCATGGCCCTGCATGGACAGACGTTCTGCTTCTCCGCAGCTGGATTTATCGCTTGCTCAGCAATCGTTCTGCTTTGCAGTTCCGGTAAGTGAAATATGCAATCGCAAAATAAGAACCAAGAAAACAAACAACAAATGGTGAAAGGTGCCAGCTAAGGTGCTCTACCGGCAGATACCCTGCAAGTAATTGAAACTGTACTCTCGCTAGAAACGCTCTCAAGTAATCTAGAGATCTTAGCATTCGGGAAGTCAATCAAAGTGCTCAACTAGCAGACCGTAGTCAAACGAACTTTAGCTTCACTCGTGAACATCCATTAAAATGGCTCTCAAGCAATCTAAAGACATGAACACAGCCAGTCAAAGTGCCCAACTAGCAGAAATTAATTTGAATTCTGAACTAGAGGTGCGATCACGACCAATCTAGAGGGATTCGAACAGGCTGAACAATTTTAGCAATCAACTACCTGATAACCTAATTGACTTTGATTCTCAGCTCGGAATTTCATCATCCACTCTAGAGGCTCTCGAACAATGTAGAGATAAGAATTAATGTCGATCTATCTGTACTCAGTCAAGTGAAAGTTCAAGACTCATTAAACTCAAACTGAAATAATGATTGACTAGTAGATATTTAATATTTTGAGTGTCGTATAAAAATGTTTTACACAATTTAAGCAGCTTATTTTATTTACTTAAGTCAGTCAGTTATTTTTAGTCAGTCAATCAATTAATCAGTGCATCAATAAATCATTCAGTTTATCAGTCACTCACTTTCGCAGTCAGTCTTTCAGCCAATCGCTGACTCGGATAGTCAATCTTTTCGTCAATTCTTCAGTTAGTCCTTTGGCTATTCGCTCAATCAGTCCCTGAGTTAGTCTATCAATCAATCACTCGTCAGTCTATCGGTCTACCCATCCGTCAATAAATCACTCAGTCAGTTCTTTAGACAATCATTCATTCATTCCCACTCTGGGTCAGTCACTCAATCCCTCTTTCATTGAGTCAGTCCATCAATCAGTCAATCAAGCAATCAGGCAAACAGTCAGCTAGTCAGTCCATCAGTCATTCAAGCATCCAATCAATCAATCAATCAATCAATCAGTCCAACATCCAGTCAGTCTATCAAACTCTCAGTCCATCATTCTACCAGTCAGTCACACAGTCAATCACCCAGTTATTCAATCAATCATTCAGTCCCTCACTCAGTCAGCKCATCAGTCCATCAGTCAGTCAGTCTTCTGCCGCCTGGTCAGTTATTCATGCGAACTGAAGCTGTTTTTCTACTTTATTCCATTTGCCATTTGCCATTTTCCATTTTCTGTTTCTATTTTCTGTTATTGTTGACGTTGCATCTGGCAATGAAAACGTCATCGAATGTAAAATGTTGTGCGACGCACACACAGAGAGAGAGAGAGAGAGAGAGAGAGACACCCTGTCTGAGTGAGAGGGAAGACGTTTGTCCAGATGCAACTTCAGCAATTGCTGCGCTGCAACAGTTGCAACTGTTTGAGTTAATGCATTTTGTTGTGCAATAACAGACATTCGACTACTTCTGCTTATTCTTCTTCTTCTTCTTCTTCTTCTTCTTCTCCACTTGTCACACACGCACACACACAGAATGAATTGCCACACCTCCACAATTTAAAGCCTTCAGCTAGTTAGGCTGAGATCTCAAGGAAAGGCCTGAACTCTTAGCGACTTACAGCTAAATACAGTAGTCACTCGCTATGACATATCAGCTCTAGCAATAGATATTCACTGCTCTTTAACTATGGCTGTTTATAAATTCTGAATTTTTTCCATTTTTATTTGTGTTTTCTTAGACTAGCTAGAAATTGAAATTTATATTGCTCTGCTCAATCAATATACTGAAACGGGTATATGGGATGTAAGCAGAGATCATGTTACTATATGTCGATGGTGCTGGTTATTTAGATATTAGTAGATACTAAATATACTGTTATATATGAAAATGGGCGAAACTAAAGCTTGAAATTATTATGGAGCTCCTTCACCTACATAGTACAGAGAGATATACAGGCAGATATAGAGACAGACAGACAGCAAGAGTTAACGTGTTACAAAAACTAATATGCTCTCTTTGCATATCTTGAGTGAGCATTCAACTTGAAAGCGTAAACAAATAAAGTATAGCTCAATGCTTTCAAATTAGAAGAGATTGGAAATGGAAATGCAATCGTCGCTGCTCTCTTCTTTTCTCTCTCTCTCTCTCTCTCTCTCTCTCTCTCTCTCTCTCTGTAAATGAAATTTATTTATTAGATATTAAGAAAACATCAATTGACAGACATTTAACAGATAAAATTGATATTAAATTCGAGCTAATTGAAACAAATATTTGCCTTGGGCCACACAAAAGCAAAAAATTAGTTTTATTTATTTATTTATTTATTTTTTTTTTTAATTAGATAAGTGCTAGAAAATGCGATTTTGGATCAACAACATCGCAGCGAAATTCCCCATTTGCAATATTTCCATCTCTCCATTCTGGAGGTATGAGAGAGAAAAGTATGCTGAAAATGTTGATATTTTCATATATTTCAATTCATTTCGATACGCACTCACTGAACTGAAATGAGTATATTTGCTTTGTGYCATGTCCGGCTTGCTGTCTGTCCGTATGAATGCAGACCATTGCAACGCTATTGAAGCTAGACGCTTGAAATGTTAGACATAAAGTCGTGTATATGCTCCAACCCTAAAGTGTTTAGATTTTCCAGATCTACTTTATATGGACGTTGCAAGTCTTAAGTTGCATTTTCCTGTATCTCTGAGAGAGTTGAAATTTGAGAGATTTACAAGAGTCGGCATTCAAAAATCAATTAGATATTGGGTGGATATATCTACGCCCATTGAGAGCTTGGCAAATCGGGAAAAACATCAGGTTTTACATATTAAGCTAAAAATTTACAAACTTACGAATAACTTTTATTGATAACCTCTCTATATATCAGTTGGAGGCGTGACAAATCGTAAAATGGATCTAGCTGTGTTTATTCTGTGAATGAGTATTCAGCAGTCGGTGCCGCCCGACTGCGACATTTTTACTTGTTTATTTGTTATTTCTCTTGTTTTATTAAATAAAGTGAAATTTTTCCGGCTCGTCGACACATGAAATATAAATTTTGCCTTGTTTATTTACCAGAAAATATATATAGAGAGAGAGAGAGAAAGAGAGCGATAGGGGAGAGAGAGAAAGAGTCCGAATTGGCGAGACTTTATTAACCTCAAATCAATTTGAAATCGAATTTCGGTTTGTGATTTCAATAAATTATTTGCTTAAAATAAAACATTTAAATGACTTTTGATTAAACAAAGTAAAATTACCCATAAATAAATCAACGCAAATTAAAAACTCTCACAAATCGTTGACGTCTCAGCAAAAAGTCTCCTGGTTTCCCCCACTCGAGTAGTCAATGAATGAATGTTGAATTCTCTGAATAGTTTCATGTTTAATTGAGTGCGAATTCCAATAATAAGAACCAAGTTGCAGGCCTTCACTGACTGCATAATACTCGTTCATCACAAGGTCTGTATTTTCCAATGTGCCACGCCTTAAATAGGTCAACTAGTATATAAATCCATCTATAGCTCAATTAGCTTTAAAATAGTATTTGAAACAGCTATATTATCAATTCTATGAAAGATGGTAGTGAAAGATTAACAAACAATGTGAGAGTAGAGCTCGCGGTAGATGCGTATTTCAATGAGCTCTATAGTCAATTCATGCTATATTTCTACAATCTATCTTCTAGAGAATGGCGCAAGAAAAATAATTTGACCTGAAAGGAGACAATGTTAAAAAATAAACTAAAATTCGCCCAAATTTGTTCTTTCCTTAGGTCAGGTAGTTCTGGGACCGCCCTCGTATGCATATAGTAATATATGGTATATTGATTGTGAATGCTGAGTCAACAGGAAGTTTGTCATGCTGATTAGCTTAGATAAGAATTTAGATATAACAGTTGGACACAGATAGTCAACAAGGCGAAAGCATGAACTGTGTATACCCCATCCGCCCCACATAGCTACAGGGTATCTCTCTATGTGCAGTTAAAGGCGTGACGCCAAACTGCACGCAGCACAATCAAGTTTTCTGACTTTTCCACTGGCTCAGTGTGTATGTGCGTGTGTGTGCGTGGCTGGGTGTGTGTGTTAGACTGCCTGCTGTTGTGGTTTATGATACCATTTAGCCCGAGGGTTGCTTTGACAAATTGTGCAAATTATTGTGTTAAATTTGCCCTTGAGGTGAAAAATCACTTTGACATGGATTATATACCGTTTTTTTCTCTGTCTCAACAATAGCGAGTGTGTGTGTGTGTGCGGATGTGTGGGTGTTTAGCTGATTGTGCTAGGCACTCACACACACACACACACGCACAGCAATTCACTGCGGGGCATAAATGACAACTGACAATCCACAAATCGACAAATGAGAAGCTTAAAGGCATTTATTCTAGTCTCTTGTTGTTGCTGTTGCTGTAGTTGTTATTGTTGTTGTAGCTGGTACTTGAAACACCAATGTCACTCACACATTCACGCATACGCCACATGCATTGGCAATAATTGAAATCGCTCTTGGCCGGCTTCACAGTCTGCTAGCCAAAAGTGTTGTAAAGCGAAAGCCAATTCATCAGCTACACTGAGCGAAAAGAGCACCATAAATAAACAATTTACATAGCAATTGGGATACCCTACACTAGGCAGCTGTGACTAATCGAAAAATAGTTCGTTGAACCTTGAGAGCAAACTCTATAATGATCTATTATATAGAGCGAATTGACTAGTCGATTTCCCTCTCCATCAAATTGGAATATGGAAAAGAATTTGTCACTGGATATGTCTACGTCTACTCCACTCGCCCAAAGAGAGCTGCAGATCCAAAATGAACTTACGTTCTATAGCTATAAGAAAGCTGAAGACCTTCCCACATTCAGAAAGAATACATTTTGGCAGAGTGATATGCAGACACTTTACACCGTTATCAAGATAAGTCCCTACCAATTTCACGCCAAGAAAACAAGAGTTCTAGTAAATTTACCACTGCAAGAGTCTTCATTATCACCC